TTTGTAAAAAAAGCATCAAAATTTTCAACAACAATTTTTTTGGTGTACATAGTAAAAAAAGAAATAAATTTCAGTATGAACTACAATGAAAATACCAGGACAAATCTACAAAAAAATTTTTGCTTCAATTATTGCATCTAAGCTAGTCTGCATAGAACACTTTCCATGCACACATATGAATTACACTGACAGCACATGTTTTGCTTTCCTAGACTTTATGTAGGACATACTCAGCATCTCACTTGTCTTGTTGCTTTTTTTAGGGTATACTTATTATATTATTCAATGTGTAACTAAGAAGAACATAAAATAAAGTATTAAATTCTAATCATGTATTGCAATAGAAAAAAATCAACATTTTTACATCAGCTGTGTAGTTGCTTACAAAACCTACAAGATAACATCAGAAATAAATTCCTATATGAACTATGGTGAAAATACTTTATAATTCTATAGCAACAATAATCCTTGCTTCAATTGTCACACCCACGGCAGTCTTCACACATGACCGGGTTTCCGTGTACAGACCTTACTTTCACGGACAGCGCATGCGCCGAGCTTTCCTTTCCTATGTAGTAGGCCACACATGACATCTATCTCGTCTTCCTGTTTTGTCAAGGGCTTCCTACTATATTGTACAATGTGCCGCTAGCAAGAAAACAAGATATCAATAAAATAAAACATCAAATATGTAATGAGTGCTTATGATAGACATCAATATTTTCACATCAGTTACTTACTTACTTACAAAACTTAAAAGATAACATCAGAAATAAAAATCTATGTAAACTACAATGTAAATACCAATAAAAGTCTGCCACAGAAGTAATCTTTGTTTCAACTATCATATCCAAGGCACTCTTCACATGTAAAAACCACATTACATACACAAGTATAGTTTATGTATGTTTTGTTTTACTGTCTCTCTCTCTCATTTTTTTTGCTTGTTTGTTTGGTTGGTTTTTTTTTTTTTTTTTTTTTTTTTTTTTGGTGCCAGGGATCAAACTCACAACCTCACACAACCCCCGCCCCGTCCTTTTTTTTTTGTAGGCCACAGTTGACCACTTTTTGGTTTTCTTGTTGTCATAGTAGGTCTTTGTATGCCTTCCTGTTAACCTGTCAGCTCAACAGTGTGCTCCACAGTTTTCTTTTTTGCATAGTTCTTTGGGCAGAAACATTTTGTTTTTCCCCAGCTGTAAATGCTCTCCTGAATTCCAGCCCTAACCCTCTAAGAAAATCTGTCTGTGCTATTTTTCACTTGTTATTTTCTTTGTAAACTATTAAACTATGCCACGCATATTTAGGATCCAATAAGACACAGTCACTGGCCAGTGCTTTGTGTTTCATGGAGTAATAGTTGTTGCATAGCTCACCAACGTTTACTTTACCTTTGGATTCGTTGTAGAAAGTTACCATGTCAGGTTTCTGTTTTGTTAAGGTTTCCCTATTAATATTTCCATCGTGTGCAATGTTGACACGAGCAATGCCAGTTTGCTTTACTTTGGCATATATGAGGTCAATGTTTTATCTTTCTGAAACCCAAAGATTGTTACACAAGTCGCTATTTTGCAATGATATCTCATTTGGAATTTCTGCTTTATTCTTGTATATAGTCCTACACTAGTCAACTCACGCTCTGTTAGCAAATGTAACATCAATTGAAAAGAGTAAACTGATTGTCAAATGTCACATTCCAATCAGTTTGAGAGATAGCAACATTCTATTTATCACTATAGGAATAAAGACCTGGTGGCTGAATTCTAGGATTATTTTCTAAACTGAAAGCATAATAGATCTCTGCATCTACGAGGGCAAGAGTTTTTTTTGTTGTTGTTGTTGTTTGGTTTTTTTTTTTTTTTTTTTTTTTGCATATATTGCCTGAAGCTTCAAAGACCATGACATTCTGAGAAATGCTCATCAATAGTTGTTTCAGATGGTGTGTAAATTGTCTGACAGTTACACACAAATCTCTAAAACAATGAGCAAATACCCACCAGATTATCGGTTCTTTATCTTTCTTGGTTGCTGGTTTTGTCATGAAACCTCAGGCAATTTTGAAGGAAACCAAATCTCTTAAGTGTAATTGCTAGTCTATAAACCTCAAGCCCACACCCATTCCTTTTCCCCAAGCCTTTTACATTCCCACGACTGCCATGAGAAAGCCCTAAATACAGACCTATAAATGTTTTAGTTCAGCTGGTGAATTGTCATAATAAATACATTTTGAGTATTGTTATTGGTGCATATAGAACATTTTACTTGTATTTCAGCATTTTGTATTTCACAATATCTTGTAGCATTTCATTTGTTACATACAATTGCCAACACTGATTGGCAATGCTGGCATTCCACCCCAAGTTTCACTCCTGCCAAGATTCTCACCACACTTTCAGACTTAGTTCTAACATTGGATTGTTCTACTTGGTTGTACCATTTTGATTAGTGAAACATGTGCTCACATGACTACTCTCTCTGTCATGTGAATCAGGGAGGTCTTCATCCCCTGTGTCTGTATTGGTTGAATTTTGCTCCATTTCACTGTCACAAGAACTTTGACCCACATGGCCAAAGTCAAAGTCATTATCATCTCTATTATCTATGTATGTGTAATCTGGTGATTCACTTTTGACCTTTTCTAAAATTTGCTAATCTGGTTTTTCATGTGCTCTGGTGCTGAACTGGGCTATTTTTACTAGAAAAATCAAAACAAAACATTTGAAAAAAAAACAAATCCTAAATATACAGAAGTTCAATGATGAGCCTTCCGTGGGTGAAACCCACTTATTACTACTTTGGAACTCCTGTAAACACCTTGCTGTTTGTCTGTCAAGTGGGTGAATTCACAGATGAGTTTTTGTTTTCCTCAAGTGTAGTTACTACTCATCCACATTCCATTATGGTAAAATACATTTTTTTTTGTATCAAAAGAGTGATATGTGTATACTTTACTCCTTGTGATGCTCAAGTAAACATATGCAAAGTCTGTTAGGCAGAGCATTATGTGTGTAGAAAATCCTAATTTGACAATTTTGCACATGTGCACACACGTTGCTACTCATCATACCAAGTGAGTAGACACAAAGATAGCTTTACGTGTCCCCCAGGTGCAGCTACTGAGATACACAAATGGCTACTATTATTCTAACGTAGAAATTTACAGTAGAAAAGTATGGGGTGTGTTGTTGTAGCCCAGTGTTATGCTCTATGGGTACATCTATGCATCTGAATTTTACAGTCTGGAAAACAGTCATAGAAATATTGCAATGGGTACTATTATTATAAAATGACTACCATTTGAGAGTTTTGTGAGGAATAAATAAAATAGTGATTATTAAGTACTTAGTACAAACTGTGAAAAAACAAACGGAAAACCTAGAAATAATCAAAATATGTGATACACAAAGATTTAGCATTACTAATATAAAAAATTCTTATACATTTCCATTAAAAATAAACCCAGACATAAAAGACAAAAACATGCAGTTCACCCAGAAGCATAACCAGAACTAGAAACAGAAGTCATTCCTAGCTGTTAAGACTAAGAATGACTCCTGGCTTTTGCATTTCCCAAATTCTCTATAAGAAACAACTAACATTTATAAAGAAACATGAGAAGTACTAGGGGGCTGCTTATTTTATTTACAGGACAAGCAAAGTCTTAAGTGAAGGTAATTTAAGTTGATTTAAGTTAAAAATCTTGATCCCTTGATCTGCATACTTCACAAAATCTGGGTTCCTTCACAGTATTTCTAAAGTTCCTAGAATGTTCTTAACATGTCTTGGCTTTTGCTTATTACCTTTTGTCCTGAGACACTGCTACACTGGCTTTCTTGCTGCATTTCTCATCACGTTGTAACTGGTCACCCTTGTCCTGCTTCAATCAACCCAAGAAGATTAAGAGAGAAAGACAGAAGGAGAAAAGGGGAGCAGGGGAGGTGGTATTGAAATAATTAGTCTCTAGCCTTTGGTGAGGATAACACATACTATTCATATGAGAGTATAAAAACAGACTCCTACTTGAAATTCATATTGTATAACTACAAATTTCATGCCTTAAAATGTTCTACGATAAGGTGTTTGTCATCAGCTGATATGAATCAGAGGCAGATTTTATGGACATATTTTAAAGGAAGACATAATGAGATTAGTTTACAATAATCCAGACCACTATTTCAAATAGATTGCTATCCTTATTTTTCTGTGCTTCTGATTTTTTTTATTGCCTTCTTCCTATGACCTTTAACTGAGAGACATATATAAAGATTGCACACTAATGTTTCAACTGATTCCTTTCATTGTTATTGGTAAGTTTTATACATAAGGTTCTTATTGTCCCCGTAGAAGGCAGAGGTAAAATCAATTTCCTCTTTAACATATTGATAAACAACTCCAGATATAAGAGGTAGGGAGGAGAAACTAGATTTACCTTTGTGTGACCTACGTAGGAATGCTGGAAAAAATTAATTCCAGAATATTATGTCAACATTCCTTGAAGTTGTGGATATGATTTACATAGTAGGTCTTCTCCATCCAGCCAACTACTTTCATCTCGATACTGTAAATTGCTTTCATTTTCCTCCTCCGATCTCTTGCTCGGGGTATTGTTGGGATAAATTATGGAACTGAAAATGGTGTGTAGATTGTCTAAGAAATTGAGTGCAGTCAGCCTTAAAAGTGCTGGATGATGTGCTAAAGCGGCTACCTCACCCTGGCCATGTCCCATATGTCGTCAATGAACAGCTGCTTTTAACTTTGCCTTTTTGCCCAGAGCATGAGAGCTGCTGGATTTATTGAATTAATAACCACTCCATTATGTGTGTTTTGTTTTCCTGTGACCGTGAAATCTGGCTGTAATGTTAGGAAAGTGTAAGACAGGTCTCCCTAACAAACAAGGCGCTATCTATTTTTTGGGTCATTATTTAATGCTTAATCTTTTGGGTAGAAAATAATAGGGAAATCCTTTCAAATCTGGAATAGAATGTTTCGAACAATATTGAGTTAAAAAGGAATTTTATGGGTTACACAGATAGATAGAGGCTGGCTTTCACTATGATTTGTGGTCTGAAGCATAGCTACTGACTGCAATGTGTTTGTGATTGAATAGGGCTTTTTTTGTATTTTCTTTTCAAAGCAGAATATTATAATACATATCTATTTTTTTTCTCACACACATATCTAAATACTTTCTTCAGAAAATGAGGGCAAAATAGAAGACTATCTTCCCTTTACGCTCTGGGTCATTTCCTGAAGAGTTTTGAATTCAGCACGAAAGGCAGGACTTTCACAGAGGTGGAATGTAGCACATGTGGAAAAGGTTGGACCAACGACCTTTAATTCTTTGACCAAGAAGGTGTGAGGTAAGTCTTCTATCAAGAAGTTTCAGCCAGGATCATTTTGATTGATGGCGTTTTTCTTTTTTCTCTCTTTTGTTTTCCTCTCTTTGGCTTTCCTTTCTTTTTCAACTTTTTTTTTTTTTTTCAGTTCACTTACTGTTGTTCATGTTTTCCAACTTCTGTTCCTCCCACCGTGAGTTTATAGAAAAAAATACAGAAAGTGAATTGATTGTGTCAGCTGTGTCTTACCGCCTGGTTATTTTCCTCTTATTGCTTCTAGTGGCAGGAATGGCTGGCTTTGGAAGACTTAGAACATTTTACTTTTGAAATTTAGTTTTGATCTATGTATTTCTTGGGAATAATATTAATAAACATAATATAATTTGTCGATAAAAACGATCCAAAAGATTATGTATTTTAATCTCTCACTTTATGCATGGGAAAACAAAGCCTTAGGAATGATTTTTAATTTGTATAAGATTATAACAAACTATCATAACACATTTCTATGGATTTCTTTCTCTCTCTCTCTTTTTTTTTTTTTTTTTTTTTTTTTTTTTTTTTTTTTTTTTTTTGTGTGTGTGTCTTCTTTTAATACCAGGAATTGAACTCAGGACCTTAAGCTTGCCAAGTGGGCACTTATGCCCCTGAGCTATACCCCCCCAGCTGAATTTCTAATTTAAAGTCTCCTCTACTGTGAAGCTAAAGGGAAAGATTTGTATTTTTACAGAAATTTAATCTTCTCTTGGTTTGTTATTTTTAGTACAGAATTTCTCAAAATTATCAAGCAGTAGATAAAGGCTCTCTAGATATTCTCATTTAAAGTCAAGTTTATACACTGAGACTTAAAACTATAGTGTATTAAAAATAAATGACTACAAGGGTATTCAAAAATTCTAAGACTCCAAAATGCCTTTCAAATCACTTGGGTAAAATTAAATTTTGTTCAGCACGTTAGCTTTTGTTTTTCTAAAATTGGTTAATTCAACATAGGAGCTTCATGAGTGCTCCCCTAAGTCAGGCTCTGTGCTATGTCTCATGGATCTTAAATGCAACCTTCTGTAAAAGGCACAATGGTCCTTTTTTACAAACTGGAAATGTGAGGATTAGAGCTCTAGCAATTTATTTAATGTTATAAAACTAAGTGATTGTGCTGGTATTGAAATTCTGGTCTATTTGAGATCAATGCTCAAGTTCTTTCCATTACATCCATCTATAAATATTATATTAAGTTACTACCCAAATCCCCACCAACACAAGAAAGGAAAGAGCTTCTTACTTCTGTCTTTGAAATACACTGAAAGAGAAACTGAGGAAGGGTCTCATTCTCCTGTCTCCACCCTGCACAAGGGCAGACACAATGCTTTTGCTCAACTAATCATGTACAACTCAGTGTTGTATAACTGCAAAAGTCCTTTATTGCTAATTAAAATCCAAGAAGAGCCACAGTTTTTATGTCATAATTTTATTTGTAGTTTCTGGGACAATTTAAGCCAATTAAAATATTTGGCAAACGTGGTGGAAATCTTAAAATTAATATTATAATCTATAAAATTAGATTCAATTGAACAAATATTTATTGGTTCCCCAAAGCAAAATGTTTACAGCGAATGATATGCCAAAAAACATATATACAAAATCAGTCTTGGAAATCTGTTTCAGACATCTGTTTTCTGATAAAGATTGCTAACTGGGTCATTGAGAGTGGTGTTTTGGGTCATTGTTTCTATAATTAATATGGAAATGAAATGAATTATTTACTCTTGGAAAGGAATCTGAAAGTGGTCAGTAGAGGGACCAAGGCAGTGTTTGTGGGGGTGATGCTGGTCAGATTTGTTCAGTGTCTTGCGGGCCCCTGTCGTCTGCATGCTGCTCTGAAGCTGCTTCAGTCAAAGGACCTCACAGAGTCACATGACCATGAGACCCACGAGACGCCCTGTGTCCCAGGGTGTGTTTGTGTCTCCCAGTGAGGGCAATAAACACTGCCCTATTTCCCTCGTGTATTAATAGTCAATATATAATAATCTTGGAATTATTTATATAATTCTTTCCTTAAATCCAAAAATTCATTAGTTAATTGTTCAAACAATTTCCTGGAGTTGTGTGTAAGTTGACGGGTGGACAGTGTGGTCATTGGGCCTGACTCTAGCTGTGTGCTTACCCCTCCAGCTAGGAGAGGAGCAAGGAGGTAGAGGACAGTGACCCAAGTGTTGGAGAGATTTCTTCTCATCATGTAAAATAGGGAAAATGCGTCTTCAGCCCAGCGCCACAAAATCTAAGAACTCCAAACCAAACCTTCACCTCTAAAACATGCACATTTAACATGAAAAATATCTCAGAGATAGTGAGATTTAAAATGAAGTTGATTCACTTCATAAAATAGTTTATAATTTTTTTGACCATATGAGAAAGAGGCTAAATTTCTAAATTGATTTTTATTTAGAGTTGACTCCAAATAAAGGAGAAATTCTGTATGGTAGCTGTATTGGCATCAGTGTTGGCACAGTAGTTGCCTTGAGCATTGACAGCTGACATCTAATGACAGAATGTGAGCAGCCATCCCTTGTAGGAACTGCTGAGATCTTTCGTAAGCCTGTGGTGGTGGTAATACAATTTTTGATTGATATAACAACAAAAGCGACTAGGTCTCTGCATCAAAATCCAGAGCTTTGTCCTTGCTACTATGCAAATAAGTAGTGCATTAGGAAAATAAGAATTACTCTATGGACCATCTAGCAGATAATTTATTTATCAGAGAAATTTAAGTAAATGTCTACTTTCTGTTCAAACCCTCTGACCCCTGACCTTAGCTAAGCTACACATAAAGCATACCTATGGGTTTCAGAAACACCTACAGCACATCTAAGTAAGATTTAAACATTCTAAACATTTACTTAAATAAATAAATTGAATCTGTTTATTCAGATCAAAAATGTTCAGGCTTCACTGGGAGATTTTATTTTTTATATCATGCTAAAAGAGATAAGGCCCTGACTGAAGCTGTTGAGGAGCTTGAATCCATAAACAGGACCAAGTTCTGCTTTCTAAGCCACCACTGGAAAGAAGGACAGCAGGTGAAAATGTTCCTACCGGGCCACATTCTAGAGAAACCAAATATTTAAATTTCATTTTTCAGATTTTTAGTGGTGTTCTAAACAAACTTTTTGCTGTTACAGTGCAGACACAATTGCAGGGCTCTGGGTCCTTAAATCAACTGACTTCACCTGTGTTCTGCAGAGGCTGGTTTTCCTGGGTGGTCTGAGAATTGCCTCAGGAGAGAGCACTGATGCAGTCTAATCCGGATGTTACAAAGGTATGTAAAAAGGCCGTCTTGCGAGCTTAGTTTATGTGTTGTCTGGTCCTTCATGTGGAAATAGACATTCTTTTCAGCTGTTTTGGAGCCTCTGTGGAATGAATGGGCTTGCAAAGCTATTAACATTGATTTTCTTAATAAAAGAGGTAAAGTGAGACTTTGAGCTAGTGTTGAGATAAAAATACGTACAAGAAAATGAACTCATTTTTAGAACTTAAATTCAAACTGAACACTTGTATGTTGCATCTGTGTCTAGCTTTATTCTACCCTCGCATTTATTGTTCTTGTATCACATAAAAGTATGTAACAAAATTTATGTTGGGCGTTTATTTTTTAAAATGTAGGGGACAATGACAGTGTGTTTGGTGCACAGTATGGTATCACCAAACACCAATTGGCCAAGTGTGAAATTAGAGAGATTGTTAACCTGCCCACGGAGCTGGGAAGAGAGGAGACTGCTCCAGGACAGGGCACCTTGGAGCCAGAGCAGGATCCCCCCCAAGACTGAACTCCTAAGACCTGACAGCACTGGAGATGCAGTCACCCCAAGGAGCAATGTACCGCCTGCCCTGCCTACCACTCACAGAGAGCCACTTCGGTTAGTTCAGTACATCAAAGTGGCATCCCTCACATGAGATGGCAGACGGAGCAGCCCAAATCATGCAGTCCAATCCTGCTCCAGCCAGCTGGAGTCTCAAGCTAAGGCACTGGCTTTACTTACAATGCATACGGAACCTGCTTCTCAGCGTGACCTTTCGCTCATTTTAGAGAATTAACTGGAGCTTACCAAGAGGTAACCTTCTCCCTCTTTCATGCACCTGCACACCTTCCAAATAAAGAATGCTGAAACCAAATGATCCTTGAAGGCAAGGAAACAGTGATGACCTTTTATGAGCAAGTCTTCCCGGAAAACATCTGTGAGGAAAGGTCTTGATATGAGAATCAGTGTCAAAAGAACTGATAATTTGAGAAGACATTTAAAGCCTCAGAATTTATTTCCAAGAAAGTCCTAAAATCCCAGAAAAAAAAAACTTGTTGAATAAATGAAAAAGAAAACAAAAACAAGAAATATATCTTGCCTTGATCTGTGTGGACTAAGAGAGAAACCTATGCCGTGCAATTATTTGAAAGTTACCAGGATGGATGTTTTAATCATTTCATTATAATTGGTTATCTTCAGTGAAAAAATCCTGAGGAGGCATGCAGCTCAGAATTATTCAAGTAAAAATTCTAGTGTAAATGGTTTTAATCTTTTCTAGTCAAATTAATATGGTGTGGTCGTCTTGTGGATGCAAATTCAGTTATCTTTCATGTTGACGCATATAAGAAAATTCCAGCCAGACACACATGATTTATCCTTTATATCTGGAGCCAGGCTGTAATCATTTACCCCTTTTCAAGTTGAATTTGGCAACTTTACTTGCTGTATGCATTTTGTGAAAGTGAAAATATATTCTGCAGCTTTTGATGTGTTGATTTGTAGGAAGGTAAAGACAGCTGCATGAGGTCCCAGGAGACGGGCTCTGTGGCTGAATGAAGACCTCTAGTGCTTTCTTGTTAGCCAAGATAGATCTCCATCCTGATGAACCACAACTAGTCAATAGCAGGGGCTCTCGGTGCACGCGATCAGAGGCCACAAATCAGGTTTCCGTGGGACTAGGTTATCGGCATATTGTGCCGTTGGCCATGCCCTACTGCTACTGGCCTGACTGTAATTTTTTCCCCAGTGAAGTTTTTAAAGTCGCAGGCTGAGACTGTATGCTCTCTTGGCAATGAGGCTGTCACTAATCTGCCAGATATCAATTACCTATCAAATAAATTGCTATTTTAATGTACTCAGCCCCTTACTATCAAGGAGGTTGAAGGCTAGCCGGATTTCCTATTGCTGGGGTTTCCTCTCCAAAATTTATTTTCAATGTCTCCTTCCTTATGGCCAACACATGTACAATTACACAGATGTGATGCATGTGAATGGGTTGATGTGCTCCATTGTTAAGTCTCTGTTGCGTGTGTCTGAAGTTTTACAGTAGTCCCTATCTAGGACTCAATGTACCTAGCTTCTTATTATCTTACCTATTTTGCTTCCACATGCAGCTTTCTAAAATAGATATCTAATCCTCTTTTAGAATTTCCACATGTTTCTGTATATCTCAAGCAGGCTTCTTTAAAAATCTCCTTCTGTTAGGGTTTAGGAGACCCTAAAATATGCTTTATTATTGAAAAGTGCTCTCTGGTTACTAAACTGTCCCCTGAAAGTGGTCAGGTGCCTCTTTTTCTTAAAATTATAGTTTGAATTTAAGTACCAAGGCCATGTGTGAAATGCTTATGCTACTGACTTGTAGCTCTGTGTTGAGAGGATTAGTGGGTTATTTTGGTGAGCAGAGCCCCTTCCCAGTCAGTGCTCTGAGCAGACTGAGCCCTCAACATTGATCTTCCTCTTGAAACAGGCTGCTGACTCTGCTGGCTGGGCTCCTTCTCAGAAAATCCTGTTGTGCACCTCAGTCTCTAAGCAGATCCTGTGGTACTGCACATTATGCTCCCTGCTGGGACAGTTTCCATGCTTCTCTACTCTGATGGCAGGGGAAATCTCCTGGAGGCAACTTGTTTCCTTCTCTGCCAGTGTGAGATGCTAGCTGGACCCCTGTACTGTGGCTTAAAAGCATCAACACCATGCTTTTGCGAAGGCATTTATGAATGAATGGCACATGGTACCCTGGTCTCAAACTGCCCACTCCTCCGAGCAGTCAATAACCCAGGACAATCTGATAGCCCTAAGCCCAGACTCCTCCAACTCCTCAGAACACTTGCCTCTCCTAGCCTTGAGGACAGCATAGTGCAGCTCCCCGAGACTGCCTTTGCATAACGTCTTCTTTTTGTGGGTTTACTAAACCCCTAGTCAGTCTCTAAATCTTAGATCAGACTTCAACTCTTTCCTAGCATTTACAAAAGCTGAAGAGGAAAAAGATATTCTTGTTTAAATGAGAGAGGCTGATCCTGCTTGGAGAAGGAGGTAGTAGTGCTGGATATGGGTAGCACGGATAATTAATGTAGCCCAGTCTAAAAGAGGTGGTAAAGGTCGCTATCAAATGTGCAGAGGGGCAGCACTGTCGGCCTGCTATTACTCAGCCTCACAGGGCAAGGCATCCGCTGCGGATAGTAACCCCTGGTCCAAGTGCATCTCTCCCCACTCCAACAGAGTCATGGCCACCACCTTCTCTTGTTGGGATCACTGTCATATTGCCTCCCACATGGTTCTCTAGCTTCTACTCTTGCTATGCCTTAGAATAATCCCAATCAAACAGCCAGAGTCAGTCTTGAATGCTATTCAGATCTTGTTGCTCCTGCTGAAATCTTTCCATCCTCCTCCCGCAGTTGCCTGGTTCCCTTTTCTCCACTAAACACATCACTTTCTAATGCAATATGGAAGTAACTTATTTATGCTGTTGATGTTAATTCCCCACCCCTATTCATGTGAAAGTTCCAGAAAGGAGATTTGGTGTGTTTACTTTTCTGTTGTATCCACAGTAGCTAGGACACCTCAGAAGTCCTCAATAAATATGTATTAAAATGATGAGTGAATTTTCCCATGGCTGCTTGGAAACATGGTAGAGATTGGCAGACCCACAGAAAGTATGCCAGTTACGGCTTTGACCTGAACTTGGACGCCTCTGGCAAAAAATCTCTTTCAATAAAACATTTTGATTACTAATTAAACTTAGTAAATTTACATAACTATGTAAGATGACCCTGTGGCTTTTATGAATTAAGTTGTTACTCTGACTCATCTCTGCTGATTATTTCTTAGATATATTTGTAAAATTAATGACCCTTAAATTTACAGTTTTCCTGAATGTACTAGTAGAATGACTTTGAAATAATGACTTTCTAATCAAACGTCACAAAAATAAGCAAAGCTAACAACACTTAGAATTTACATTTGAATCACTAAAATAAATGGAAAAAGCTTCATAATTAATTGCATATTTATGCTTTGAATGCCACTGTGTGTGCATATCATCATCATTTGTTTGAAAAATTGTCTGATAATCTTATAAATAATCTTATAATCTCATAGTTGCTGAAAGCAACTGAAAAACATTAAAATCATTGCTTTTCATTAATATATAGGGTACTGGGGGAAACTCAGTTTTTTCTTTATTAGCTATATTTTACAGGGACATGTAATCTTAGATAATACACTGAATTTTATTTAAACTACAGAAAGGTTTATTTCTGAATCCAGTCCATAACCAATATTCAATTTTTGTCTGTCTCAGCACGAATAAACCAAGAGAACATTTTCACACTCAAAGGCAGCTACGCCTCCCCGTCCTGAAGATCAAGTGGTGACTATTTGGGCATTGAACAACATATCCATGGAGTCCAGTCACACATTTCTCAACACCATTATTCAGACAGAAAAGGAATGAAAGCCAGAGCCTATAAAAGTAATTCTTGAATGGCTTGAGGAGTGTATAAAATGTGCTCTATAATTTCCAACCTCCTGCAGTGCAAGTGATTAGCTAAAGAAACACTTTGAACCTGTTAGTTGTACATCTTTTAAACCATTTTAAATTATGGAACAGATAGTCCTCAAGAAATTAATTAAAGTTTTGGACAATAATGCAATCAGGGATATCTGTGTTTGCAGTCTTTTCTCTCTGCTTGCATACATCTTTGTCTGTCAAGTACATCAAACAGCTAATTAGCCCCATTTTAAGAGCTCACTGCTCACATCACTTAAAAGGATCTCAGGCTGTCTTCTCGGAGTTCACACTTTCTGCACACTGGTTTTCTGAATGTTTCTTAGACTGAAGAACTCTCCTCCCAGCACATTGGAGGAACTATAAAGGTAGATGAGTTTACTTCTTATTGTTTTCTTCATTTTGTCAGTCATGACCAGCACTTTATAAATAATCTTATAAAGATTGTTAAACTTATTTCTGGTAGGATTTGCTTATTTTCATCAAATTCCCTTGGAGTTGCTGAAAAACATTAAA